CGAGCCTGCCCTAGCAAACAGATAAGAACAATTTATCAAGGCCTGAAACCCATTATAAGCAACCCAAAATACACCACTGAGTGTAAAGTCTTTAAAGTAATTTAAAGAAATCAAAACTTGTATTTGAAATCTATTAGGTCATCAGGAAAGTTATGACTTTTTTTTTCATGCAAAAATGCGCACAACTTTCCAGACAACCCAATAGCTTTGTGAGTGACTTGATTTGCTTCCTTAGGGAAGTATGTTAAATGCCTAGATTTCAGTTTCCTATTCTGAAAAAGAGGTAAACACTTCACTTCACAGAGGTCTTTAAGCAGCACATACAGTTGCTTATATGAAAGTTTTATATGCCAAGCATTTTTGTGTAGAAGTTCTCATTGATAATGGCCAGCAAAGGATGAGGAGATATCTCTGATAGGAAACAAATTCTCTGTGGTCTTTGTCCTACAGGCCTCTGAACTCATCTAGCTTTAACCACGGTATTATCCTGTTGGCTTTTGAAAAGCATTGAAAATTTTAATCATTATTCTTTGCCCAATTTCTACTTAATTGCTGCTTCTACAGCTAATTTTTGTTCTGTATTCATTTCCTTGTCATCTGCAATTAATATTTACAGACTTTGCATGAATAGCACTGCTCACATGCAAAACATAAAGGAATGAAACTCTCCCCTGCAAAAACATGAATCAGATATATTTATTTTCTACTATTGTTTTAATTATTTTATTAATTTTATTCCCTACCATCTTATTTTATGTATTTTCATATTCTCTCCTTTAAGTAAATAAGAGAAATGTGAATTTAAACACTATGATCTTTGGTTTCACATAATTAAATGTTACCTTTCTAAGTCAGTCCTTGGAAATGTTTTCAATTTCCACACTCCTGTTTTCATCTTGAAACCATACGTGATTCTGGTCAGTATTTCTTCTTTGTTTTTCATTCCCTGTTATGAATTCCACTTCACCACTTCCCTATTCATTACATTCTTGCACCTCACTGGGTTAATAAATTCTTTTGACACCTACTACCCCTCCTCCCTCCCTCCTTCTCTTGCTATCCCTCCTCCAAGAATGGTGCCCATCAATATTGCATGCCAGGGGTGTGCTTGGAGAGTACTGGTCTGACAGCTCCCCAACCCAGCAGGGAGTCTTCTTCTCCCTTCTGTTCCAACTCAGTGATGAGCGAACTCCTCCTCCATCCTGCCTCAAACACGGCTGCAAACACCAGAACTAGGGACAGATATTTCCAATCCCCAGCTCTATTGCAAGGGCCACTTGAAATGCATTCCACTTTAGTCTTCTTCCTTAAAAGTTTAATGCTTCCTTCTCAAGGTATACTTGTAGCTAGAAGGTCAGAGTAGTGTTCAGGAAAATGTAATCATTGCTTTTTCCCCCTAGAAGATAAGTAGAATCAAGCAATAATAAAGTCACTGCTTAAGGCAGATAGTGCAGTATTAACCACGACACCATGAAAACTTTCTTCATGTTCTAATAAAATGAATTTCAGACAGGAAGGAGGATGTCAAACTGGGTTAAAAGAAAATGAAACCCAAGGTGGTAAAGGGCATAGTAATGAGATATTAAGCTGCTGTCAATAACCTTATGATTTCAAATGTGAGTACATTTCCAAGTACATAGGCAACTTTAGAATTAATAGGGGAAACTGTGTTGTTCTTCATAGAGAATGGAGATGACATTAAATGACTAAATGTAGGTAGAAATTGTTTCTGCTTTCTAAATGGGAAGAGAGAAAAGTTACATGAGTTGGTAAGATCTTAGTACAATTTTAGTGTGAGTAGGAACCGGTGACAACCAATTATTAAGGGGGAAATATGCCAAATTGTAATTCAAGTCTTAAAACTGGTAATATAACCATCTCTGAGATTTTCACTTGTATGTGAGCTACCAAGTTATCTGCCACAGTTTTATGGCTACCAAGAGAAGACACAAGACTCCTGGGTCAGAAACAAAGAAGGGTTCATTACTCACAGCATTAGTGCTATCCAGAGTATCATTATTTTGTATTGTTGCTTTCATCAGTTCCGAGAGGATGATGCATTGAGGGTCAGATGATATCTTTACACTCAGTGGCTGCATCCCAGGAAGGGGGCTTTGAGCTTAGGGAAACTGAGTGAGTTTGAGGATGAGTAGATGTGACTACAGTTTGCTCCAAAGAAAGACACCATGTTCATCTTCCAAGGTCATTGCTATACAAGCATCCTTGAAAAGACATAAATGTGCAGAAACATGCACAGAGAATTGTCTTCCAATGGTATCAAAAATAATAATAGTTTTTGGTATTCATTAAGTGTTAAATGATGGTTATCCCTAGATATAAATCAGCCTCTAGGTTATGTAATAGATAATATATGAACTATAGATAACAACTAGAACAAAATCAATTTCAAGTGGCTATTAGAATTAAAAAGTAATTTGATATGTTCCATATAATATGCATGTGAATGAAATGGAAAGATGTGAGCTGGACAATGTATATTCTAATGGATTTATATTTGGTTGAACAAAATAACTCAAAGTATTGATGTCTGCCTGGAGAGAGGTTTCAAGTGATGTCCTTGAAAATATCTCTGTGTTTGCCTTATTTTGTGTTACTGTGTTACCAGTACTTGGAATAAGAACATAAATGGCAGGCATATCTGATTTATGGAGGATCAAAGAACAGACAGATAGCCATTATTTGGAGGAAAGACATAGCATTAAGAACTAGAGGGCCTGAAACTCTTAAGGTAAAATGTAAAAGCTAAATATCAATTTCTACTGAGGTTCATAGAACTATATAGACTTTGTCTAAGAACCTTGCAGGTTAGGACTAAAAGTAATATAGTGGTTAGCTATAACAAATTAGTGAACTTGCTTGGGGTCTCATTGCTAACTTTATAAAGGAGATATTCAGTGATACTGCTCCATTTTCCCATCTAACTAGAGCCTGATAGCCAGTCTTCAGAGGTGGTTACATTATTGAGAATGATTTAAGGCAATAGTTCATAAGGCTGAGTATAACTCCATACTCTAAATCCTACGAAATAGTCCCTTCATAATGTCTGTTTGAGTATTGTGTTCATTGGTTCATGCCTCGCTTTAATGAAGACATCAAATGCTGACAAATATCCATATGAAAATGAAGATAAAAATAAAGGGGGAGATCTGGACCTCCTGCTTTTCCACCTGAGGTTGAAAAAAATGGAAGATGTTTGGTCAGTAATAAAGGAGACTTTAGAAACAATATAATCTCCAAATGTATGAAACCAAGTAGGCTAGAAGCAAGTCAAAGACATGAGGAGAGGAGTTTCAGGAAGTCACTTCTGTTCCTGTTAAGTGAGAATATATCGAAAATAAGAGTTGATGATGAATGAGGTGACCCCTCAGTAGTAGTAGACTAATTTTGGATGTGTCTAAAGAACTAAGCTTATATCAGTTATGTCGTAGAGAGGTTCTGGCTTTGGATGATCAATGTGTTAGGTGACCCCTGAAAGCCCTTCTGAAGTTCTGTGAATTCAAGATTTCAAAAGTCATACTTTTTTGGCAGAGTAGTTTGAATATTCTTGTTGAGAAGGCAGTGGTTTTAGTACCAGCACTAACTTATATTTGTTAGTTGTGAGCCGGCAATCCACTCAACACCTTTGAGACTACTTTCTTACAAAAAAAATAACTGACAAGTTGAACTAATTTATCCATGTGCTTTTTGGTTACAATCTCTTTAGGGTAAGGATTGAAGGTGATTTAAAAATAGGAAAATATAATATAATGTTGACTATTGAAAAAAATAAAATAAATAAAAATAGGAAAATAACAAATTAGGATTTTTTTTTTTTCTGTAGGGCATGTACGCTTACTGGAGACACAGAGAGCGATACAGAGAAAGAAAGTGAGAAATCACTGCCTGTGGGGAATGACCCTTCTCCTCCATTCTTGTCTCAGGACTTTAGGCATATACATACGTGATGGCATGAGTTTCAGGCTGTTGGGTCTGGGACCTGAACTGTAGTCAACTATGTGGTAATCCAGTGCCTTAACCACTATGTCACTTGCTGGACCCTAAGTTTTTGGTTTTTTGTTTGTTTGTTAGTTTGTTTGTTTTTTTTATAGGGCATATGCCTACCAGAGAGACAGACAGAGACAGAGAAAAAGAGAAATCATCCCACAGGGGGGAATGGCCATGCCACAGTCCCTTCTCTTCCACTCTCCTGTTGGAATTTTTGGCATGCATGCATACTCCCAGTGTGCTTTTCAGGCCACTGGGTACAGGAATCAAACTGCCGAGTTGGTCACGTGAGATCTGGCACCTTAACCACCACGTCACCTGTTGGCTCACAAATAGGATCTTTAGGGTTCTTTCCAGCCAGTTTTCTGAGTATGAAGTATACAAGTAAAGAAATCTCATGTTTGCTTGCTATATACAGTTCTACATTCTTTCTGGTCCTATTTGAAAGAATGAATTTGCCGTACTACCCTGAATTATTCCTGGAAGGCATTTGTACTAAGTTTAGCTTTAAGGTGTCCTCATTCTGAAGTGATTTTTAAGTATCTTTCAAGCTGGTCCTAGAAACACAAAAACGTATTTAAAGCCCTGTGAGACCAGTATCAAGTCTTATCAGAAAAGCTGGTTATGTAACTTCATGAGAACTCTGTTTCCTCTCATTCTATCTAAAAGTATCTGTACATGAATTCCAAGGGAGCAACCAGAGGCAGGCTGTGTCTTAGGGGAGGAGATCAAAGAGATGTAGGCAAACTCACGGTTACCACAAAGATCATCAGTCTTGAGATCAAAGTCTTGGTATAAAGAACCTATATCTTCATTTAATCTTATCTCACCTATACCCACACTCCCTCAAAAAAAAAAAAAAAAAACACCTCAGAAAAAAAACTAGTTCACCTAGTTCACCTGTTTGTACAACTTGAGATCTCAGATCTCAGTGTGGGAATAGCACCTAAGTACTATGGAAATGTCACTGCTGCCATTCTCTGCTCTCCTACCAGGCCCCCAATGGAAGATGCCCAGACACTCTTGACCCCTGTGGTGAGCTGTGGGCCTCCAGGAGCCCTGTTGACCCGCCCCGTCATCCTCACCATGCATCACTGTGCAGATCCCAACACTGAGGACTGGAAGATACAGCTCAAGAACCAAACGGCACAGGGACAGTGGGAGGTGAGTATCTGATGGATAAAGATGCACAAGCAATCCATGCTGATCATCAGGAACAGTTATGGGAAGCAAAACACAGGCAGAATTATAGCTCACACTCGGACTGGAAGACAGACAGACAGATGTCTTCTGAGTACTTTATTTTCTGATTGATAGACACAAAGAAAATGATGATCAAGCAATACCTAACTTATAGCAAAACTGCACTTAAGAACCTTGGACAACTCCCTTTTGGAATATAGATACTATATACTATATAAGGCTACTTCAGAACATTCATGAGAGTAGGAGTTTAGTTAGGTATAAAATGTTTTGAAATTCACTAAGAGTTTGTTTTTGTTTTTTTTATAATGCATTTTCTGTTCTCTTTTTTTTTTGGGGGGGGGAGGTTTTTGCTACAGGGCGCATGTGCTCGCCAGAGAGATAGAAAGCCAGAAATCACCCCCCAGGGGGGTTGACCATGCCGCAATCCCTTCTCCTCCATTCTCCTCTTGGGATCTTGGGCATGCATGCACACGCACCCGGCGTGAGTTTAAGCCTCTGGGTCCGGGACTCGAACTGCAGTCGACTACATGGGAGTCCAGCAACATAGCCATTACGCTAACTGCTGGTCCCCCATTATCTTTTTGAAGACCTTTCATATATTGCGAAGGGATACATGTTTTTTTTTTTTTTAAATAGTCATAAGTAGAGAAACAGAGCATCTAGTCAAGAAATTTTAAGCCCTTGCTTATGAACAAGGTCCTGGATATAGTCCTTGTGGACAAAACCTGGGAAAACAGAAGAGGAGTCTGCAAAGCCCCACTGGAATGCTCTTTGTGGCTATTGCCATTGTAACTTTCTAAGGGCAATGCCTTTAACAGGTCCTCTAACACACACAACACACATCAGAACCCTTTACTGAGCATCTACATTTCAAGAATATGTTTATAAAGCATATATATATATATGCTATGAATGTATATATAAATTTTTGAATATATGTGAATTATGAAGTTATAACATACAAAGTATATGTTCTATACCTTGCAGTTATGGTATTTTTCTCTTAGGAAAGAAATTTTTAGAAAAGACACATAAAAATTCAAGCCCCAAATGTTTAAGGGAAGCATTGTAATAGAATAAGGAGAGTAACAGGGCATCCCTGAGAGTCACTAGGAATGCCTAGTGACTCTAGGACATGTTGGCCATAGCAGTGACCTTACCTTGCCAGGAGACCAAAGGTCCAGGAGTGGAATATAGGTATATGCTTTACATTAAGAGCAGACTTGACCAGATCTGACTTTAGTTCCACTTAAGCCTTCAATGATTTATGTAGAAAATATCCCAAAGCCTTAACCTAGTAATACTAAATCAGTTGCATGGTTCTCTACCTAAACTAGCTGCATGTTTGTCCACCTAATGCCCTAGCTGTTTCTAGGTGTAACAAAATGAAAGTAATAATAATCATCATCATAAACTAAAGAGATAAGGTGAGTACAAAGGAGAGTCCTTATGCAGATACCTTTAAACTTGGAAGTGACTGAGACATGGGCATCTTGATTCGTAGCCATATCTTCTATGAGGCCATCTGTAACCTGCCCTTACTAGGTTTACCATTGTCCTGCTGGACAAATAAGCTTCTTTTCAGATGTCTTTTGAGGGTTGGAATCAACCTGAAGGTGCTGAGCGTCTTTCTCTCGTTTCTAGT